AGAAAGAAAGAAAGAAAGAAAGAAAGAAAGAAAGAAAGAAAGAAAGAAAGATTCTTTCAGGCCTGGGCTGTCCTTCAGTTTATTTAATAATCAATGCATCCTGGCTCCTCCCTTGTTATTTAGGTGATAAACTTGATTTGTGGTCTGGAGAATCAATTGATGAGATTTCCAAACCTGTTCCATGTGATGTTCTGTTTTGCAGAACCAAAGACTGGCTGAGTGATCTTGTTCATCTCACCTGCTGTCGAATCTTAGTCAGGGCACTCTCTGGAAGCATTCATTATCACAACAGGTGAGTGAAATCATGTATGTCTTTTCAAATGCTGTAATTTGCTAAGCTCTCTTGCTACGTTGGTGTCAGGTTCAGCCCAAAGACAGTACAGGTCTAGTACGATAGCTTTTATTAGCTTCCAACCACAGACAGAACCCTGCCAGACTGAATCTAAACTCCTCAAGCCAGCAAGCAAAACCCTGCAAATTCCTTAGGGTGGTGCCAGTCTCAGCTTCTTAACCTTCCCACGCTCATGCTGGGGGCTAAGGCAATGCTTATCTCCCCGAGCGCAGCCTTCATCGAAGCATTCCATCACAGTTGGAGAGCAAACCCAACCAATGCATTATGCAAACTGGATTGGATTACCATAGCCAAGGGGTCCTGTTTTCTAAGTCTCTTGCCCATCCCCATGCCATATCTCTCATTAACAAGCTACCTTCTGTTATTTGAAGAATGGTTTATGTGTTCCATGCTTGCTTTTAAGAATATTAAAAAATAGGCATCCTCGCTTGTCCTCTGTAAGAATGCATGTACTTTGTCATCCTAGGGTTTTCCCACTTCATTCTGCTTCTGTGTATGTAGGTCCTAAGGTAGTGGTAGGCAACGTGTGGTCATTCTGAGAAACTAGAATTCAAATTCTCATCAGTCCTAGCCCATAGTGAATGATGATGATGAAATGACTAGTGACTTCTGGGCTGTGTGTCACCTCCTTCACCACCATGTAATTGCACTTTTGAAATTTGGGCGAGGCAATTTAAACCTAATTTTCAATAATAATAATATAATAATAATAATAATAATAATAATAATAATAATAATAATTGTTATTATTATTATATAATTATATAATAATTATATAACAATTATTATATAATAATTATATAATTAATAATAATAATACTTATTATTTTGATTTATTATGACTGCCTATTCCAAAAAACTCAGGACCATTCACAACATCAATATACAATTAAAATAGTTAAAAACAAAAATAACAAAACAGCCTAGATTAAAAAGCAGCCTTAAGAATAAAAAAAGCAAACACACTAATCCTGGTCCTGGGAACAGAGCCAGATCTTAAGAGCCTTCCAGGACCCCTGGAGAGTGGGTGCCACACATATCTCTGAGTGATTGCTTAAAAAGTGGGAATGGGAACAGATTTTCTCTAGGAGGTCTTCCTCTCCCATTTCCTCTTAAGTTCCACCAAAAAGAGCAGAACTTTTTTTCCTTTCTTCATCCAGTGATATTCTAGTGTCACCTGATGACCTCCTGAAGCCCTCCAGAAGATGAAGAAGCTGAACTGTGTCAGCCTTACTAGATAGACCAGACAGGAAACATGACCACATGAGCTAATTCTACTTTATTGTAAAGCTACATTAACAGAATCTTGCAAGTCTGAAAGTACAATTCTCTCACCTTAGCCCTCCAGAAGATGAAGAAGCTGAACTGTGTCAGCCTTACTAGATAGACCAGACAGGAAACATGACCACATGAGCTAATTCTACTTTATTGTAAAGCTACATTAACAGAATCTTGCAAGTCTGAAAGTACAATTCTCTCACCTTCTCCTTTACAGCCCAAGAAACTAGGCAGGGTCCCTTCTGAGCCTCTTGCTTCAGCCAGTATCCAGCTGCAGGCTATGCTGTCTCTTATCTGACCGTTCTCTTGGCAGCATCTCCTGGCCCTGTTTCCCATAGTCTTTCCCACATACCATCACAGTTGTGACCACCTTTCAAATGTGGCCAGTTTAGAGAGACGTACTGATGGACTTGAAGGCTCATTGCTATTCTGTCTCCCCAGTCTCAGTAGTACAGATGACATAAGTGGGCAGAAGCTCTTTCTCCAAGTCAGGTGCTTTCTCTGAGCCAAGTCTCATCTTCAGGACTTTATTTTTCTATACTGAGAGAGGCAGTGATTCTCCATCTTTTTCTGCAAGGAAACAACTGAAAGTGGGATATGAATCCTTGGAGAGTTTCAAGATGGGACAAGTCGTTCGCCTCTATTCACCATGTGGCCTGGAAGTTCCCTGCTCCTGGAACCTTTGTTTTTATTTTCACCTGAACTTACCCAGATATCATAATCCACTGAGGAAGAGCATTTTCATGTTCTGCTGCTGTTGACATGGTGATCTGAATCAAGGCCTTTTCTGTGTTGACACCCTCCCTTTGTAATGCTTCCTGGTGCTAATTCCAAGATGCTTTAAGTGTCACATGGAGATTTCTTTAATTTTCCCAGGCTTTTTTTTAGAGAACTGATTTAATCAAAGTGCCATTAATGTTTGCCTCTGATACTATATTATTTAACATCTCTTTTGTCTTAACTTTTTAAATTATTGTTTTCACAGCTAAAGTCTGGGAACCTTTGGCAGTGAATAGCAGGGATATATATATATTCAAAACAGAAGTTCCCTCAATAGCTATTAATTAGAATAGTTAAATGGTATTTTCCTCACTCTTTTAATTATCTTAAGCTTCCTGTGGAGTACCTTTCTAGATGAAGCTTTGTGATAACTCAGCAAAGGAAGTTCTTAATTCTTTGGCTGTTCAAATTTTAAATTTTGGAGGAAGGCAAAAAGATTGGTGTCCTCTAATGTTCCATCTTCATCCTGAAGACTTGTTTGTTAAAAAACACCCAAGTGTACAGATGTGACCAATGTGGCTTAAGAGGCAACATTTATATGATGTACAGAATCTAGGGTTGTTTAGTGCACCATTTCCTGAACCCAAAGTCTTCCTAGTTTGCCCATGTCTTAACCTTGACTATACTGGAAAAAGAACTCTGGAAAAAAGAGTTATTATTCTTGAACTACTGCCCAAATAATGGGATGCTGCAGTTTGTAATAATAATGATGCCCCAGTTGCATTAATTTCTTTTCCTGTTGACCTGTTACTCTTTGACATTCCTACGCATGTCATAGAGGCACACATGTATCATCACCACCTCGCCATCTGCAGATGATTCTCATGTGAAGCAACAGTGGAATGATGGTGGTGCCCATTCACTGATTCTACCTCAGTAGTTGAGTATGGGCTGTCCACATACATTTGGTATTTCTGTGCCTGGGGAGCACCCATTTCATATGTGAGGTGGTCTGCGTGGTAGAGGATTGATAACGAAGCTCAAGCTCAGATACTTTGGCCACCTAATGCGAAGAGAGGACTCTTTGGAAAAGACCCTGATGCTGGGAAAGATGGAAGGAAAAAGGAGAAGGGGACGGCAGAGGATGAGATGGTTAGATGGCATTACTGAAGCAATGAGCATCAAACTGAGCAAGCTCAGGGAGGCAGTGAAGGACAGGAAGGCCTGGTGTGATATGGTTCATGGGGTCATGAAGAGTCTGACATGACTTAATGACTGAACAACTGTGTGGTAGATTAGGGAAGAGAGAGTTAATTCCTCAGCAAGTGGTAGTTGGACCAAAAGAAACATTTGGAAGAACCTTCACTGCTGCATTGAACTAACTAAACAACTTAATCAGCTGCTTTCTTTAACAGGATATCTATTTACAATGCACCTACATCATAAAGGGAATTATACTCTATCTTTCTATTTCCTTTGGTGCCTATCACTTGGTGAAGGTGTTTATTCATCTCTTAGTTGTTTGTTTATTGGCTTATATTTTGTCTTCCCTCTAAGGGTTTAAGGTGGTATACATAACTTCCTCCTCCATTTTTTTCCCCACAGCAACCATCCTCCAAGATAGGCTGGTCAGAGAGTGACTGGCCAAAGTCACCCAATGGGCTTCTGTACTTGAGGGTGAACTTGAACTTGGTTGTCCCCAGTCCTAACCCAACACCTGAGTAGGGGCAAACCCAATTCTTACTTCTCACAGACAAATGAATGTTATTTTTAATGGCCTCACAATTACTTGAAGCCAGTTGAGCATTTAACAAGCATCTCTATTCTCATTTCTGCTGGTAGATTATAAGCTTGTTTTGCTGTGGTGTTTTTAAAACTGAAGATGAGGGCAGCCTGATGCCATTCAGATCTTTTGGGCTGAAATTCCCATTATCTTTGGCGCTGGCTGAACTTACAGGAATTGTAACTCAAAACATTGCTGGTTAGAGTCCTGTTGTTTTAAAGTTGCATAAAATTATCAATTGTAGGAGGTGGAAGAAAACTTGGAGATCATCAAAGTCAACCCGTGTACTGTCTTCAAAGTATTTCTTTTTACAGGAAGAAGCATGAGAAACAGCTTAAAAACATGAAAAATGACACTTCTCTTTTTTAGTTTTAAATGGGCGGTAGTGGTGAAATCCTCAAATGTAGAGGAGTTACGGGTATTATGGGGTGGTGGTTCTACAGCAATGTTGTGAATCACATCTACTCTAATTGCAGGGAGAACCGACCACAGAGGGGTGGAATTTGTGTAGCCAACCACACATCTCCGATAGATGTTATAATCTTGACAAATGATGGCTGTTACACAATGGTACGTCACAATATCTTGAGAATTTTGTAACTGCAAGAGCCAAAGGTTGCATAAACCCCTTAATGGAAAATCAATATCCCTTAGTCATTTCCTGGTTTCCAAGAACTGTGCAGAAGTTCTTGCTCTAAATTGAGCACTTCCTTGGTGAAAAATTTGGGGAAGAGAGACTGACGCTTCAATAAATTGCGTAGAAGCTATGTAGTAATGATATAAACTAATATCGTTTTGTGTTCTTACTTGCCAGCCGATTTGGGTAGAAATCTCAATTTCTTTTCTGAAGTTCAGCCCCACCTTTTTTTAAAACCACTTTTGCCTCCTTGCAAGTAGTCTGCTGGACTGAGTAGAGTGTTCCCACTCTGATGTGGGAAATGAAAGAAATCTTACATGCTGTCAAAGAGTGGATCTTGCACAAGTGCAGCATGGCCAGAAAAAGAGTTGTTTTTGCCAAGCAAAGTAGTAGTAGTGTCAGAGGATTTATACAATTCAGCAACATGAAGTCTGTGTGTTCAGTTCAGTGCCATGAAATCATTAAATAAGTCGTGAAATAACATTCTGTGAGACTTGGATCTTTTCGAGGGAAGGAACAATCCTTTTTGCAGTCCAGTTAAAAGTTACCATGTTTCAGCCACATGTTTTAACCCTGTAGCTGGGCTCACAGTGTCATGATTTATTGAATATATTACAATGGGCTGGATTCATACAACATGCTAATTTATAAGTCATATTTTACAAACCAAAATGGCTAGATTTGCAAGCACACGACATACTAAGCCAAAAACATATAAACCCACTTTATGGCTTAGCTTAACTAAGGTTTGTTTCAAAATCCATAACTGGCTAGATTCTCATAAGATGCTGAGACATAAACTATGGATTAAAGATCCCAAGGATTGGGGGGCATGGAAGACATTGAACCAAAATTAAATGATAGACAACCCGTGACCCCTTGGGGTCATTGTTTCAGAGCTACTTATTTATCTAAACAGAGAAACAGAATGACCATGGGGTTCGGGGGGGGGGGTCGGCAAAAAAGCATTTGGAGCGGGAGCAATTTCCGACTTTCTGCCAGCTTCCCCACTGTCACCACCTTTTTTCAGTTGTATCACTTTCAGTTTTGGAAGCAGCTGGCCAATGCAATGGAGAAATCATTTCTGTGGCAGAACCTTTGAAGGGGAGAAGCACCAGGTGTCCTCTTCTGTCCATGGCTTCTCGGCAAATGTCCCTGCTCCTCGCATTGGCATCAGAAGGGGAATACATAACTAGAGCCCTGTGTTTCCATCATAAAATCTTAATTTGAAACCAGCTTTGTTTACAAAAAGGGAAGACTGGTAACCTATTCCAGGTGTGCAAAGGACTTCTGCTGCTGCTTTATTCTGTCTATCTGTCTATCTACTGTAGTTCTCAGAGCTTCCCACATGAGACAGCTCTAAATATCTTGGTCATCCCCAAATTGGGTGCCTTGGTAATCTGTATAAAGCTTGTGGTTGAGGAAATGGGAGCTGACAAGTGTTGAGTACTGCAGTTGTACTTCTTAAGGAGTTGAAGGAACTTGTGCTATTTAATTAATTAATTAATTAATCAAATGTATATGGCCGCCCATCTCATAAATTGTTATTTAACTGTCTTTTTTTTTTTTTT